TACTACTCTCTCTCTCTCTCTCTCTCTCTCTCTCTCTCTCTCTCTCTCTCTCTCTCTCTCTCTCTCTCTCTTATAAGAAGAAATATTTTGTATTTATTATTAGAAAATTATTTAATTTATATTCATTAAATTTTTTACTTTCCTTCAGAAATAGGAAAAATATTAAAATAATACATATATGTGTATTTTAATTTATAAATGATCAGAAAGAAACGCAAACTTCAAAGATTCGAATAAAAAAATTAAAATTTTCATTCAACTTCTGGCGAATTTTGTTTCAAAAGAGCTCTGATTTTGTGTAGTTTAATTATTAATGTGTTCAGAGATGTGTGAAAATTAAATATTAGAATAGCGATTCGAGCTAAAATAATTTGTTTTGCAGGGCGCTCAGAAACCGTTCAAGGAAGTGATCAAGGCAAATGTGGGCGACGCCCACGCGATGGGCCAGCAGCCCATTACGTTCTTACGGCAGGTACTCACCCTGGCGGTTTCGCCGAATCTGCTGAACGATCCGAGCTACCCGGAGGACGCGAAGGATCGCGCCCGAATAGTTCTGAAGGGTTGTAAGGGTGGTAGTGTGGGCTCGTATTCGGAATCGGCCGGCATTGAGTGCATTCGCAAGCATGTTGCGCAATACATTCAGGACCGTGACGGCGGCATTCCTTCCGATTATCATAACATCATACTTTCGAACGGCGCTTCTGATGGTATCAAGGTACATGTACTTGAAAATCTCATCGCGTTTTTTCTTTTGTTTTTTTTTATTATTCAAAACTGATTACTTGAAAACAAACTAATCATTTTCTAAAAAAAACGTTCCAACATGGAGAAATAAGTATAAGTTTATTTTTTTCTACATGATAATAAAAAATGATTTGTTTCGAATGCACGATACAAAAAAATTGCAATTGGTATTTCAAATTCTTTTAAATTTATTTTATGGTATTTTAAATTATTTTAAATAAATTATTGTTATAAGATACTAATTAACACTACGTTTTATCTTTCTAACGCTCTTGTCTGATTTTTTGGATTTTTTTTCAGTCATTCCTGAAACTGTTCAATGAAAGGATCAACGACAAGCCGTCCGGTGTGTTGATTCCGATTCCGCAGTATCCTCTGTACTCGGCGACCTTGGCGGAATTTGGTCTCACCCAGATCGGGTACTATCTGGATGAAGACAACAAGTGGTCGTTAGAGATTAGCGAGTTGGAACGAGCACTAGAGAAGGTCAAAGGCACATGCAATCCTCGCGTGCTAGTAGTCATCAATCCTGGTAATCCGACCGGCCAAGTGTTGACTCGCACGAACATCGAAAATGTCATTCGTTTTGCCCACAAGCATCATCTGTTCCTGTTGGCCGATGAGGTCTATCAGGACAACATATACGACAAGGATAGCGCGTTCCATTCCTTCAAGAAGGTCATGACGGAAATGGGCGAGCCGTACTCGAAGATGGAACTCGCATCGTTTATGTCTATTTCAAAAGGTACGCGAAAAAAAACGGATAAAATTGAGGTGTAATTTGTTAGGAGTAATAAAAAACAGTTTATTTAAAAATTATTTAAAATATTAATTGCCTGAAAATTATTTTGCTGTCCAATAAATCTCGTAAAATTAAAGGCGTCTTCACGATTCGATTTTAACACAGGACAGCAATTTGATTTGTGCTACTTTTATTGACACGCGTAACACTGTGCTGTGCTTGTATGAATGAAACATGTCGGATAACGTTAAAGAAAATTCATATTTTTCTCTTCGAATTTTTATTTAAATAAATAGATTTTTTAAAACTGAGACATTTTATTTTCAGGATACATGGGCGAGTGCGGAATCCGCGGTGGTTACTCTGAGATCATCAATATGGATCCGGAAGTGATGAAAGTGTTGCAGAAGTCAATTTCCGCGATGTTGTGTCCTACTGTACTCGGTCAGGTTGTGATGGACGTTGTAGTGAATCCGCCGAAACCGGGTGAACCATCGTATGAGCAATTTCAAAAAGAGAAGAAGGAGACGTTGCGCTCTTTGGCAGAAAGATCGCAGCTCGTTGTCGATACTCTCAATAATATTCCGGGATATAAGGTGGCTATCCTTTTATGAGAGATATTCGATAAAAATGCTCGAAATTTCTACAATGATTTTCCTTCCTCTTTTCAGGCAAATCCACCGATGGGCGCGATGTATGTGTTCCCACGCTTCGAGATACCACCGAAAGCGATCGAGGCGGCACGAGCGAAAGGCCAGGAACCGGACGTTTTCTATGCGTTCAAATTGTTGGAGAGCACTGGGATTTGCGTGATCCCAGGTTCTGGCTTCGGTCAGATACCCGGTACATACCATTTTCGGACCACGATATTGCCACAAAAGGAGAAAATCAAAACGATGTTGGATGCACTGAAGCAATTCCACATCAAGTTCCTTAAGGAATACAGTTAAATTTTCTGTAATATATTTCCAGTTGAAAAAAATTGAGATTACGAGAAAAATAGGAATAGGAATCCACGAGGAACAACCGCCTAGGGCTGTGCATATCTGAGAAAGGACTAATTTTGGTCTCAATGCGACTGTGAATATGCGAATATGAATAATTTTTATTACGATTAAATAACTTACTATCAAGAGAGAATTACGACATTGTTATTGAGTTGTATAGAAAATTGTGATAAAACTTTAAATTCGTTGTAATATAAATGTAAATCATTGCTGAATGTAAATATTTGGTAGTTATCGTTGTATGACGATCATGGTCGATATTATGTAATGATCATCAAAAGAGAAATTGAATATTGTTGTAATCAGGTTACTGTGTTTCTTTTCTCCATTTCGCACGATTCCTCATTTTTTCTTAACTTCTGTAAACTTAATTTCTTTTTTCAAGTTATTTTTTATTAATAATCTTAACTTGTAGCATGATTTTATGTTTTCTTATCCCAAATTACTATTAATTCATATAGAAATTATAAGTAAAAATTGAAAAGGAAGAAAATAATACAGAATTTGTTGAAGAAAGAATGCAGAAAATTAAATAATAAAAAATGAAATAATTGAAATTGTGTGTGTATGTGATAGTATGTGTGAAAATGCGTTATACACATAATTAAAAAATTGGGAAAGGAAAAAATATTAAATGATAAGTTTCTGTCTTTTTTCAATGTGATTGTTGATTTATTATGCAACTATTTCTTATACTAATAATACATATACATTCTATATCACTATTTACAACATTTACTATTTACTAATCAAAGATCCACAGCAAGTCTTTCTATCTCCTCGACAAAGAACTTCATGTCGGCTTCCGTCACTCCCGAATTCTGCAATACCAATCTGAAGAAGTTTGGCATATTTCTTAATGTCTGGTACGTAATTAACATCGTACCGGCTCGCACCATACGTTCCTTGATCATCGGCGCAATCTGCAATAATTTCATCGACTATAAGCATACTCAAGCATACAAATTAACAAGACGAAAGGAAATAAAAATTTGAGATGTAGCACCAACTAAAAAAGGATGAAAATAATTACTTAAAATATGAAAAATAACAATCCGGACGTTTAAATTTTGTTAAAACGAAACGATACGATGATACTTTTTTCAAATCTTTGCACTCGGTAATAGAAACGCGCTTAAATCGAATAAAGTCGAGTATTTCGAACCTTGTGGAGCGCCTGATCGAGTTCTGGACCGGCCAAGTGCCTCTTCGACGGCGGAACATAGCGGAAACATACATTGGTACACTCCGGTTCAGCGAGCAGGTGCCAGCCGTCGCGCGTTCTGATAAGATCGACGAAGTGGCGTGAAAGCGCGAACACGCGATCAACGTGAGCCTCGAGGCCGCGCGTGCCCTTCGCCTTCCACATAAACCAGAACTTAAGGACATCGGCACGGCGGCCGCATTGCACATGTCGATCGCCGCAATCGAACGACGGATCATAGAACTTGTCGTTCTGGAAGAGGTAGCTCGCTCTGCAACCATGCGCCGCTTGCAGCAAACCTAAGCGTGAAATTCCGTTATATAAATTTAAGAATAGTAATAATATTTTACATTTTATATAAATTATTCATTTATTACAATAAAAGAGGATGATTAATTAGGCGAAGGTATTAATCACAAAGAGTATTATTAAGTAAAATATTGATGCTATTTAATGAACGAGGTAAAATTAGCAAAATTACAAAAATTATATATTCTTTAATATTTTAAATTTATGAAATAAAATAAGTAAAATTAGAGAAATACGCGAAAAAATTTATAAAAAATAAGAATAAATAAAACCTTCATGGCGGAGCAGCAGGGTGGAACATTGCTGTGGCGCAGCGAGCATCTTATGGGGGTTCCAGGTGACTGAATCCGCGAACTGGATACCACTCAAGAGGCCGCGATGCGTCCGGGAAACGAGGGCGCCGCCACCCCACGCAGCATCTACGTGGAACCACAAGCCGTACTTTTTGCAGACCTCGGCGATTTCTTGAAGAGGGTCAAACGCGCCTATCACGGTGGTGCCCGCGGTGGCGGACACCATGAGTGGCGCGGCACCCTCTTCGATGGCCCTGGCAATCTGCGCCTCCAAATCAGAGACCACCATTTTTCCACGAGAATCGACCTTGGCCAGATACACATTGTCATAGCCGATACCCAGGAACGCAGCGAGCTTCTTCACGGAATAATGCGCGTCCTCCGACGTGAACACCACCAACCGTGGCAGCTGCGATAGTCCGGATTGCTTCAGGTTTGGATATCTGAAGTTAATAAATAACGTTCATTTGTTTAATTCCAACAATAATTCATAGTTAAAAAAATGAGTGGCAAAATAATTTCTTAATAATACATGGAAAGAACAGCTTTTTATTATCTAAAAATTTGATAAAATCAGACATTTGGAAACAATTTTATTAAGACATCAAAATAATGTCGCTTAATCATGATGATTATAAAAATGATTGATATAAAAATTGTGTAATATTCTAGCAATCAATTTGAACGTCCTATATAATTATTTTGACCCCAAAAAAGTTATTTTTAGATTCATATCTGGTCAAATTTTTAAATTTTTCGGGAAAACTGTTTTTTTCATGTACATCTGAAAATAATATAAGAAAAGATTATATATATATATATATATATTTAGTAAATAATAATATATTTTAAGAAATAAATAATCACACCTATAGTGACGCGCCAGGTTGATGGCGTATCCGTTCGCCATGGAACCGCCGGGACAGAAAAGACCTTCGCCGCTCTGCCAGCCGATTATGGCGCGCATCTCCCGCAGCACATCCTCTTCCATCAGAGAAAACACCGGGGACACCTCGTAGGTGTAAACGGACGGATTAAGGGCGTCGGTCAACCACTGGCCCAGCAGCCCGTACGGATCCAGGCTGGAGAACAGCTGATTTACAAAGTGCGGGTGGCCTGTCTTCACGCTGTACTTGATGATGTCATGGGTCAGTGTCAACAGTTCTTCATGGCTAACACCCTCGGTCGGCAGTGACAAATCCACCACGGATCGCAGATCGTGAGGGTCCACCCATTCGACCACGCGATCCTCCCCAGAGGTGGACTGCATGCACATACGAAACACGATAGATAAAAGATATGTTGAATAATTGTATATTTTTTAAGTAATAGTTTTCCACTTTTTAAAATATTTTTTTCCAATAATCCTTGTCTACCAACTCATGCGAATAGGCAAGTCGACACGCAAGTTCTCTTCTTGCGTGAACTGCGCCACTGTAACTTTTGCCATGACTCTGACGGTAGAAAACGAATTTTTTGTCGGCATCTTTAATTTTGATAATCTAGATATTACTATAAGAATATCAATGATTTATTACGTTATATTTTGCAACGTTTTGGATTCAGCTTTCTCTTGGCAAAAATGTTGAAATATGAATAGCTTTTGAAACATCATACGCGAATGCTACTTTTCATGCGTTTGGGGCAATAAAATCTCATTCGTTGTTTAATATTAAAAAAAGTTATAACAACAAAGAGAAAAGTGAATAAAGGATTGAAGGAAAGCTAATGAAATTTTTGTTAGATTAAAAATTAATTTTGAATTCCTCAAGGATTCGATCAACGAGTTTACTGAATACGTCGCATTTCTCGAATACACAAGACAATGCGTATTCCTGCTAAAAACTGTGTTTTTTCCAGTACATGTCTCTAGTCGAACGTTTATATGTGATTTATCGAAGAATACAGCATAGTACTCCTTGGCAAATGGTAATGAGATCAATAATATGATGATTAAATGATGATCGATGATTAAATTGTCAGCAAATCGCTCGCAAATTATTGCAATCTATCACTGCCTATTAATTATACCTATTAAAACTAAATTTATACTGGAACGACGTAAATTCCGCCATATTCTTGCTAAATGGAATAGCATTAACATAAAAAAAAAATTGCAATGCATTGCGCGCTATAATCACTTCACGCAATATCCTCGGCATCAGATTATTAAGGACTTATATAGCTGATAACCCATTTATGGTATTACGAAGAGAATTTCAGTATCGGAAAATATATTATTAGAGAATAAAGCTCTTTTGCTATATTGCGAAATCGAGCAAATTGCTATCGCTGCAATAATGATGATAACATGATAGCATCAATCCGAGCGATAGTGTTTTCTATAGTTACAGATATATAAAACAGATATATAAATTCAAATAGACAGAATAGAGAAAAATGTACTCTTGTTATTGAATGTTGTAAAACGTAAAATATAAATAAATAAAATAAATATTAATCAAATAAAAATAAATAATAATAAAGAAGATATATATATATATATATTATATA